TATAGCTGCCTTGTGAGCTACTAAAATATAGAGTCCAGATATTTACAGTTTTTCGTATGATTCTATACTTGTTTAAAAGTGTTCTTATTAAGGTCTTGTGAAATATTTCAGTTCTGAGAAATTGTCCATTAATTCTGGAGCCCTCAAATAATGGAAGATTATCTAGCATCCACATGTGGAATGTGGTTTTTTGAAGAGAGCTTATGTCATCAGTCTGGATTAATTTAATTTCACTATTTCATATTTCTGGCATGTAGAATTTCCAATTAATAATTTAAAAAATATGGGTGTAAGGAGCATTGACATTAACAATTTTTGAAGTAGCATCATTCGCATATGTGATGGCATCTTAACTGTGTAAATACATCATTTTTAATACAGAAAGTTATTTTAGTATGTTTGGTTCCACATAGTTAAGATCTGTTAACGTGAGTATAATGTGCTCTGTCATGCATTGAATATTGTATTTTTTTAATAGATAAAAATTCATTCCAGGTTTATGGTAACTAAATAAAAGCCAACCCACAAGGATCTAACTTTTTTCTTCATGCATTGAAAAGGTCATAGATTTTTTTCCCCCTCCCAATTGTTTCTTAGATTTTCAGCATTATTAAAAAAAGAAAAGTTTATACTTTGATACTCTAATCTAGAAGCATTTTAAGGAAAATTGTTAAAATTGAAAATATATTTGTAGTATCTTTAAGAGCTTCCATGAATATGTATTTTTGATTTACAAGTGATTCTGTTACTTTCCTATTTAAAAACAAGTCACTAATCCTATGCTTAGAATTAGTTGCCAGACTTTCCTATGTATATGTAACCGTGTTTTATATTTCCATATATAAACATAGAGAGGAATAATTTTTAGTTTTACTCAAATATTAATTATACTTTACCTGTCCTGTTACGTACCTTGTTTTTTACCTGTGTACACATTCTATCCCCTCATCCTTTTAATGGCTGCATAACATTCTATCATGTGCATACATTGTTATTTTTTACTCAGACTGTTATGATGAATATTTAGATTGTTACCAGATTTTTGCTAAAATGTTGCAATGAATATCCTGGTTCTCTTGTACAAATATTTATTTTTAGGGATATAATTATCAACCTATAGGTACACACATTTAAATACTTGACAACTTGTCAAATTCTTTTACAGAAGGGTTTTTTTTTTTGTTCGTTTACAAACTTCTAGACCTACCAAGAATGTAGAAAGGTTGCTATCTCCCTACTTTAAATATGATATTTGAAGATGTAATATCTTTACAGAGTACTTGTATCTAGCTTTTTAAAAAAATTTATTTATCAGAAAATCAGAGTAAAAGAGAGAGAGGTCTTCCATTTGTTGAATTACTCCTCATGTGGCTGTAGCAGCTAGGGCTAGGCCAGACTGAAGCCAGGAACCAGGAACTCCATCCAGGTTTCCCACATACATGGCAGGGACTCAGGCACTGAAGCCACCATCTGCTGCTCTCCAGGTGCATTAACAGGGAGCTGGATTAGAAGTGGAGCAGCCAGGCTTGAACCTGCACTGTAGTGTGGGATGCAGGCATCCCAAGCAGTGACTTATCACACTGCGCCACAACACCTGCCCCAATATGTGTAGCTTTTATAAATCATTGAAGCTTGTGTTGAAATTATTCATGCAATGTTACAATTGTTGTGGGAACCAATATTAAATAAATTCATTGGATACAGTAAAACTAAAAATTAAGGTGATTTGTTTTAGTTTTTTGGGCTTAATATAAATGTGAATCTCAAGTTCAAAGTCAGTCCCTGATTATCCAAGGAGGCTTTTTGGTCTCCCAGTGGGCATTTTGCCAGCATCTTCATTTGGACTTCTAGGTAATTGTGCAAGTAGTGACAGATTGGGTCTGTTGAAGATAGCCCTTTTGTACTCTGTGCTAAATGTGATAACCAAACACCCCTCATTTGCTTCTAATCATTGATAGTTTGATGAAAGAGAATCTATAGCAAGCAGGAGTCAGTTTCTAAACTTTGAGTTGTATGCAGTAGTCATCTACTAGGAACAACATGCCATTCTTTTTTTCTCTTTTGAAACAGCATTTGGCACGTTCTTTTGGCTTATAGAATCATAGCTAGCCACCCTCCTTTGGGGTGGTTTAGATCAGCCCTCTCCAGGCAGTACTTTGAAGTCTGTGAAATACATAGATAATTTAGGCTGACATACTTGGCAGGCCCATTTAAAAAGCAGAATTGTTTGATGGCATGACACAAGAGGTCTGTTAACTGAGTTATAAAGAACCGAGGCATTTCCAACAAACCCTAGTTTTGGCATGAAATTTAAATAGTTCTTATTCTGTGGTGTGCAGTCCGTGAACTTCCTATGATGTAATATGGTCTCTCAGTGCAAAATACTAGGAAATGGGAATTTTACTATTCCTAACAGTTTCTCCAGAGAGGAATGGGTGGAAATGAATATGTGGTTATTTTCTCAGTTATTTAATTCAGTTTAGCTACAGTAGTAGAGATATCTTAGTAAAATGTGAGTAAGTAGTAGTCTTTGAGAAATGTGAAAAATCAGCCAATCAGTGGCAGAGTTGAGAAGGGGCACATAAATAATGAGGTTGATCTAATTATTATAGTGTATTTAATGCATGGCCTTAAAAGTCAGTAGCTTTTCTTAAAAATATTGCAGAATTAAATAAAAAACCATTATTGTATTATATACTATAAACATCTTGATACATTGCTTAAATGAAGTTGAATATAACTTAATTTATATTATAAAAATAATCTTGTATTTTTGACAGTATGGAGGGCTTCAAAAAGTTTGTGAGAAGTGGAATTTAAAGATATTTTTAAAAAATAAGATGTTTATTTTGGTGCAAAAAAAATTGAAATTTAAATCCATGTATAGCGTTTGTATGATACACATTTTCATTGAACTTTTTGAAGACTCTTTGTAATTACCATGATCACTAAAATCGCATATTGTGTTTATTAAAATTCTAAATTTTTAATCCACATGTTGCCACTCTTATCAAAATGGTAAGTTTTATATAATTTAGAAATCAGAAAAATGTATTTCAAGGCAAAGGTTACCAAAATAAAGCTTCCAGTTTACATTGCTAAGCTGTCTGAATGGTGGCATTACTGTTGGACTATTCTCTCACAGCAAAAATGGAACTACAAAGTAGTTTCAATGCGTGCCTGTGTGTTAAAGTGGAAGCATGTGACACCAACAAATGGGTACCACATGGTAAAAATACCCAGAAGCAAGTCAGTAGTATGAAAGGGATAATTTAGTTTTGTTTCATTTCATTTTTTTCCCCTTCAAGCAGCAAATGAAGTGGGGGTTGGGATGGGGAGAATGAGAGTTTGTATTCCTACAGTAGAATCAGGCCCCCATTTTAGTTTATGTGTGTGGTTGCCTTAATTGGGTTTTATGCTTGCCTGATTTTGAATTGATCTGTATTCTTACACCTTTGATTAGCTTTTAGATACCAAATTTCTTTACCCTTGAAAGTGGAAGTGATAGAGAGTGATAGTGGTATGGTACTCAGTTTCTTACCTCTGCTGGCTCCCGTGCAGACTTGGAATATGACCCACCGTCTGCCCCTGGCCTTCTTTACTAGTTATTTGTGTGTGCCTACCTCATTTTCCAGGTTTTTGTCAATTATTCAGGAAATAACTATTGAGGTTTTAGTCTGTACGAACCTTATAACTGTCTTTGACCTCCACAGTCTAGGAATGTCTAACAGAGACGGCCTTGAACATTGTAAACTCCATGTCTGTTCAGTCAGAAGTTTAACTTGTCATATACTTTCCGTAAGTTAAAATACTTTTGGTGCCTAGAAACTTAAATGGCATAAATTTATTCTATTTTGCTTAAATGAAATTCTTAAATATCATGAAAACTTTTGAAAATTAAAACATTGTTTATCATATGAAAAAGATTTCAAGAATACACATCCTTTTTTAAAAAAAAAAAAAAAGATTTATCTTATTTATTTGGAAGGCAGAGTTACCGAGTCAGAGGAAGGGATGGAAGGAGAGAGGTATCTCATCTGCTGGTTCACTTCCCAAATGGCCACAACAGCCAGGGCTGGGACGGGCTGAAGTCAGGAGCCAGGAGCTTCTTCCTCGTCCCGCTCCTTGTTGCAGGGGCCCAGGGACTTGGGTCATCTTCCACTGCTTTCCCAGGCATATTAGTAGGGAGCTGGATTGGAAGTGGAGTAGCCAGGACTTGAACCGGCATCCATATGGGGTGCCAGCAATGCAGGCTTGTCTTGCTAAACCAAAACATTGGCCCCAAGAATGCACATCTTTGACCATATTAACTAGGTATATAGCCATGCATAAAATTGCCCTTATACTTGTTATTTCCATCTAAATCCTTTAGGGTGCACCATAATACTATAGTGGAAAGAGCATGGGTTTGAGGATTAGATAATGCATGTCAAAATCTGGGCTTTTAACTTATTAGCTATGTAATTAATTATGATTAGTTCCAGTTAGTTTGGCTTTGGACAGGTTACTTAATTGTTCTGAACTTTTATTTCATAGGGATAATAATATCTGCTTTGAATGGTTGTCTTGGAAAACTGAATAAAATTATAGGTACAGTGATAGATATTAAATACCTGGTACATAGATTATCAGTGAATGCTTGTTTCTCTTTTACTCCATTTTTGTGCTCACTTTTATATTTCCTTAATAATAGCTTTGGATATCTAGAAAGTCAAAAACATTCTCTATTTTGTGTTGTGATGGCTAGTAGCTAATACCTGTGGGAATAAAACTGAAAGAACTTTTCCTCAATATGTGCTAACAGTAAGCAGCTTTCTCTTTTCAGTTTATTTCCTCAGCTAGACATTAACTCATTCTTTCTCTTTTCCTAATTTGAAAAGGAAAATGAGCCAACATTCTTTTTAGTGTCTGTGTTAAAACAGTGGTCTTCAGAATTCATTAAAGGGCCTCAAATGTATGACTGTAATGTGGCTTTGTGACCAATTCTTTTATTTTTCCAGATGTAGGTGCAAAAAACTACAGGCATCTCTGTGCTGTTTATTACAACAAGAACCCTGGGTTTGAGATCATCCATGGGCTGCTGGACAGAGTTATGCAGCTGCTTGCCGTACCTTCTGGGGAAGACAAAGGTGGATATGTGATCAAAGCATCAGCAGGTAAGACAGATTGGCCGAGTCCAGAGTTAATATAACTGTGAGGCTGAGTCCTGCTTGGTTGTTTCTCATTTGGGGGGTATGGAAAAAAAGAAAGCTTCATTTCAATTAATTGTTAGTGTTTCCCAGAAAATATACACTTTCCCTCTGGCATTTGAAGAAAACACTTAGAATTCTCATAAGTGCTGCACAATATACTTTTGTTCCACATGAGCTATAATAATCCCTAGTTACTGGCACCTTCAGGCCACTAGCACCATGGTGAATCCAGGAGTCTGAACTGGAAGCTGAAGAGACTTAAAGTGACAGTTAGCTTTCAGAAGCCACCTGTCTAAAGCCTTGGAGCAAAAAAACCAAAAAAGGCAAAAAACGCCTCAAGAGTTACTCTGAAGATTTATATGTTATTCAAGTCACAAAGTCAGCTGAGCAAGGGTGAGGATCTTCCTGTAGAAAAATCCAAGTACAGTAAAATCTTCATTGGAGAGTTTAAGTTAAACTAACCAAAGGGTGTATGTACTCCTGATTTGCTAGTTTCTCATTGTCGAAAAGAGTTCTGAAATTTTTGCTGCTCATATCCCTGCAGCTTGAATCTACATTGATTTTTTTATTAGACAAGAATTCCAGAAACAGCTTGAAAGAAATATTTTACCACTGATTCTTACTGGTTTTTAAAATTATATGTGTACCTTAAATTTTTAATAGCACATTAAATTTTAAAGCATTATTTCATAATTATATGCAGTGGCATGAGGTTTGGTGATGAAAGGTTTCTTTTTTTCCTCGCTTATATTTATTTTTCTTAGTCCTCAGAGATTTCTTTTGGTTAGTCTAATTATTTTCATTTTTATTCTGAGACTTTGAAAATAGCCCTGGAATATATGAATCTTTTTATATTGACGGTATAAACAGTTATTTTTTAAAAAATAAAATTGGGAAATAATACCGGGAATCACTGGCTTTTACCAATCTCGTTAGCAATAATCTGGTGAAGACTTGTGTCATGCTTGTAGGATTCTAGAGTGCGAGAACTGGATATTGTCATTCATCCAGTCAAATTTCCTGGTTTTACAAGTGAGGGAACTGAGGTGAGGCACATAAGTGAGTAGAACCAAGAGTCCTTTGCCATGGCCACCTTGGTCTGCCTTCATCGTGCCTTTATGCATACTAGAATTCTGCCTTAAGACCTGGTCATCCAGGTTAGTGGCAACCTGTAAGCTGATGTGTAATATTGCTTCTCGCCAGCACCGCGGCTCAATAGGCTAATCCTCTGCCTGTGGCGCCGGCACCCCCGGTTCTAGTCCCGGTGGGGGTGCTGGATTCTGTTCCGGTTGCTCCTCTTCCAGTCCAGGTCTCTGCTGTGGCCTGGGAGTGCAGTGTAGGATGGCCCAAGTCCTTGGGCCCTGCACCTGCATGGGAGACCAGGAGAGGCACCTGGCTCCTGGCTTCCCATAGGTGCGGTGTGCCAGCCGCAGCACTCCGGCCGCAGTGGCCATTGGGGGGTGAACCAAAGGAAAAAGGAAGACCTTTCTTTCTGTCTCTTTCTCTCTCTCACTCTGCCTGTCCCCCCCCAAAAAAAAAAAAAATATTGCTTTTCCTTCTATGCAAAGTCTTTCCTCAGAAATCCCACCTCCTAAACAGGTCAGCTGGGTAAAAATAAGTTTCTTGAAGTAGGCTGTGCCATGTAAGTGAGGTCTAATTTCTTTCTTACTTGAAAGATTACAAAGAACTGAAATGGCGAATTCCAGCATAATTTGTTTTGGATGGAATGCTATATGTAACATTTACATTAATGTTATATATACAAATCAACATCTTAATGTTATGACTCTTCTGCCTCAATATGTTGTTTAGACATTTATTTCTTAGAAGACCCCGAGGTCTCAGTCATGAGGTAGAATCCAAAAAGACAGAAATAAATAAGACATAGGCTCTGATGTCAAGGAACCTGCAGGGAGAAAGACCACCGCATCCTGACTCTAAAATCAAGCTGCTGAGATGAGTATCTTGAAGTTTACAAACATGGAGACAATTCAACTTCTTGAGAACTTCTGGAAATTGCAATTGAATATCTGCAAAGTGAGATGGGCCTTTGAAGGAGGAGACATGCTGTGTGTGTAGAGCAGGCAGTGCAGTTCGGTTTCACCACAGGATGAGGAAAGAGCTTCTCATTATATCGATTCCTAAATGCTAGAAAGGAGGTTACAGCTAATTAGGAGGAATAAATTGAAGCTTCTTCCTTTTGTTTCTTTTAAGCAGGTGGGTTATAGTAGATCTGTACTTTAGAGGGATTAATGTGGCAGCAATATGTAGGTTTAGTAGCATGGAGAATAAAGAGAATGGTAGGAAGGCATTACACTGTATTTTAGAGCACTGAGAGTGAGGACTTAAGCAGTGGTCATGGCTGTCTCAAGGAGAAGACTGAGTTAAGAAATCTAGGAAAGTATAAGTTGCAACTCTCAGTATGTAGAAGATTTTATGATATATCCCACTTGGAACCTTTTATGATACAACTAATATGTAGTGATCTCTTTTTAGAAGTCAAACTTTTATAATTCTAAATTTATGAAATTATAATTTGAATCATATATAAGCACTCAAAGTGAATAATTAGGTGTCTAGTTTAGAATATATGTAAACATATATTAAAATTATACAATACATTCATAAGCTGTAGCTACTGCTGATGTAATGTGATTGTAGACTTTTATGTTCAGTTTTGTTGGGCTAAGTAGTTACTTTGGTTTTGATTTAGTCAGTATATTTACAGGCTTAGATTTGTGTTTCCTTTTGAATCTATATTGGTTCTCATAATAGAATATAGTAATGTTTCAAAGTTTCACACCTATGAAATGTCCAAAATTTAGGGAATTTAGAGGCTTTGGGTGGCCTGACTCAATATATATCTAAAATATATTTATATATATTTAATATCTAACTGGTTTTCTTTTAAAAAGGACAGGACATTTTACTTCACTACCCCATCACTGTCATTGACTGCAGATTCTCCCTGAAGCCCTGGGCATGGGCCTAGTTCTGGATGCTTTTTTCTCAGGATGCTTTCTGTAAAAACCATCAAGCCAGAGAGAATTAGTGTCATTATAAATAATGATTTCTCATTTCTCCTAGGGGTTTCTAAGTCTATTTTGATTATCTAATGATTCTTTTTTTTTTATGGTTAAAGAAATCAAGGCCTAAAGAAATGGCTTGTCAAAATAAGTCAGTAGCAAAGCTGGTATTAGTTCTTCATCAAATAAACAGATATGTATATCCAGACACATACACACACACACACACACACACCACTAAGGTATGTATGTACCAGACTCTTAAGTCAGTCTATCAACATAAGAATTATCAACATAAGAATGCTTACCTGTATCATTTCCCTCATTTATTCTTATTTTACATATAGCTTTTTTGGCTAAAGAAAGGTTTTCAGAGTATCAAAGAATAAAGTAGAAATAGGCTAGGACTACAATTTCATGCCATTCTTGATGATTGAATTGTCTTTTATTATTTGGCATATGGTTTACTTTTTAATAATTGAAAATCCCTGATGCCTTTGCAATTATAATTGAGCTAGATCTGTTCACCAGAGATTCCTGCTAATGTCAGTTACATTGGCAGTTATACCTCGTTCTGTTCTTTTTAAATGTATGGCACCAACTTTCCTTTTATGCTACTTTTTTTTTTTTTTTAATGGATTGAGTGGAACAGAACTTGATTCCCTTTTGAGAAACTTAGCACTATTTATTGTAAAAGAAATCTGGAAACTCATTTGATTAATTGTTGATCCCAAGGAGTTGTGTTGACATTGGAGTGTAACCTTGCTTCTTATGTGGGCAGCAACCCTCTGCAGCATGTGGAGTATCTGCAGAAGCACTAGAAAAGGCCGGGACTGCAACTCCAGTGAAAAGCCATGCTCTTACCTATTTTTCACTTGCTGAGCACTTTCGCAATTTAAAGCCATGATGCCGAAGGGAGGTAGAATGTTAAGTTGATGATAGAATAAGGGCATTATTGAGTGAATGAAAGAAGAACCTTTAACTTTTTTAGCAGACTGTAGAGTATTTGATGGATTCCAAAAGGGTTCAGCTCAGAATGTTTTAGTGGCATTTGATCAGATTATTGTAGCATATATATATGCTTTTTTTTTTAGGCTTCTTCCTTTTCATTTTTGTGGTTTGTTGCAAACTAAATTATGTATGTTAAGATGCATTTATCCTTTTCAAAAACCACTCTGGGCAAAGAAAATTCTCAACATTTTTGTGTTTAGAGTAGTTATGTGGTTGCTGGGCAAATCAGTGGCAAAAATAATTTCTTGTGGAGTATAGAAGGCTTTGTATGTGATTGGCTGTGTTGACTGGAGCATGTGGTTGTCCCCCCCCCCCCCCTTCGTTTGTTACCTTTTTCAGTTTTGATTATTTACAATTCTACAGAAAACTTCAGTTTAACCTCAGACAAGATCTGTGCTGGAGAGACAGAAGTTTTAGGATTTTAGATAATTCATTTTCATGCTACTAAAAACTCATTTTATAAAATTAAAAATAACCTTGAAAGAAATATGCACACTTAATCCTACACCATATGTACACATAGTAGTTATCTTGGTACCTTCTGTTGTTACAGTAACACCTAATAATCACTGGCTTGACCTGAAGGTCATGACCTTCCCCCCCCCCCCCACACCTGTGAAAGGTTTCAGATGCTAAAAAATATGGGTGAAATTGTGATGTTTCCCTGATCGTTACACTGGTTTTTAGTGTAATATGAACTTGGAAATACATGAGAAGAACATCAATTGAACAACTTGTCAAAGGTTTGATTTACACAAAAGCATTGTAAACTGTATTAAAGGGGAGGGTCTGTATAGCTTGTCCACATTTAGTGACCATCAACAAAGACATCCTGTTATAACATCAGGTGAAAAAATGTTCCAAAGTTCTGAAACTTCTTTTTACTCCATGAAAGCAGTAGTCTTTTCTGTAGTTCTCTACTTTTTT